ATTTTTTTTTTTTTAGTAAAATATTAATTTATTTTATTCTAAATTGAAAAACAAACAAACGAACGAAAATGGGCTGACATTAAAGATGTAAAAAAAAAAGAAAATGGAGGGTGGAAAAAAGAAAATTCTAGAATGCTAATCGTTTTTTTTTTTTTCTTAATTACCTTCGCAATTTCCTTTTTCTTTTTTTGCTCTTCACTTTTTTTTCCAAGAGATTTTTATTCTCGAGTGCAAATGAATGATGGGAGGAGTTTTTGAAAAAAAAGGGTGGGGGGCTTTATTTAAATTTTCCAAGAGAGAGAGAGAGAGAAAGAGAGAGAAAAGGACCGCGTTATTTATTTTGTACAATGGAAGAAATATATATATGTGTGTTTGGGGGGGGGGGGTACGCATATGAAAGAAGAAAAAGTTTTTTTTTTTTTAAATTATTGTCGTGCATTTTTTCTTTTTTTTTTAATAAATAAATAAGAGAGAAAGAGAGAGAGGGAGAGAGAGGGAGAGAGAGGGATGAAAACATAAATTTTTTCTTTAAAATAATAATAATAATAATGATAATTTGACGATGGGTAGCTACGGGTATGGGATGGCAGCCATTTTTATTTTTTTTCCCCTCCTCATCCGTTCGTTTGTTTGTATATTCGTCTACTTCCGCTTTTAATTTTACCTTATTTCGACTTTGACCTTTAACCTTTAACCTTTTTTTACAAAAAAAAAAAAAATTTTTAATTTAAAAGTCTTGCGCAAATTAAATAAGGGTGGAAAAAATTTTTAATTTTTTTCTTTAACGATATAAAAAAATCAAATATGGCCGCCAGAACGTTAAAAAAAAATTAAACATGGCCGCCAGTACGTCAAAAAAAAATAAAACATGGCCGCCAATACGTTAAAAAAAATCAAACATGGCGGCCAGTACGTCAAAAAAAATCAAACATGGCGGCCAGTACGTTAAATAAAATCAAATATGGCTGCCAGTACGTAGAAAAAAAAATCAAACATGGCCGCCGGTACGTTAAAAAAAAAAAATTTTTTTGACGTTAAAATTTTTTAGAGAGAGTGAGAGAGAGTGGGAAAAATTCGGATTGCCGTTATGCCTATTATTATTATTATTATTATTATTATTATTATTATTATTATTATTATTATTATTATTATTATTATTATTATTATTATTATTATTATTATTATTATCGTTTTATTCTTCTCGCGCTTCTAAGTTTCTCTTCCTCCTTTCCCGCGTGCCCCCCCCCCACGGTAATCTCGAAGAGATTTCGTAATTCGTATCAGGTGATGACGTCGTCGTCGTCGTTGTTATTTAATCAACCTTCCAGGTATATTTTAATAATAAATAATTAAAATCCGTCTGAGGTTTTAGTTCGTCATTTTTTTTTTTTTTTTTAAATTAATGCGGGGGTCGTGTAAAAACTTTTCATTATTATTATTATTATTATTATTATTATTACTTCGTAAGAAATTTCTTTTTTTGTCACTTTCGTAAACGGATATTCACGTACGATGATAATGATAATGATAATGATTATTATTAAATCGAATCGAAAAAAGGAAGGAAATCGTTTTCGTTTATGGTCTTTAACCGAGTAAGTGTGCGTGTGCGTGTGCGTGTACGTCATATCCAATAATCGTTTGGACTTATATTGAAACGATTCGTTACAAAATCCAATAATAAAAAAATTTCGTTTATTGCAAAAAAAAAAAAAAAAAAGAAAATTTTTTTTGTTTTCAAGAACCGTCGTTAACTTATTTAAAATTATTTTCCGTTAATTATTGATATCATTATTATTATTATTATTATTATCACGTTAAAAACGATATTTATCACGTAATTAATTTATTAATAATAATAATAATAATAAAATTTATAATAACTCTTGGTTAAAGAAAACAAAAAGGTTTTCAAGTGTGCGTACGTGTTTGTTTATGTTTGCTTATGTTTGTTTTGTTTATGTTTATGTTTATGTTTTAATGAACGACTTTTTAACGGTTTTTTTTTTTTTTTTTGTTAATTTAAAACGATTTACTCGTTTTTGCTGTTGTTGTTGTTATAAGGAGTTTTGAAAATTTTTTTTTAAATTACTAAAAGCCAAAATGTTATTATTAATCATCATTATCGCTATTGTTGTGATTTTTTTTCTCGGAAAGAAAAGTATGTGAGAGAGAGAGAGAGAGAGAAATAAAAACATTCTAGAAAAATCTACTGAATAATAATAATAAAAAAAAATCGCTAGGGGAAAAAAAGACACAATGTTGTTGTTGTCGTTGGAAAGATTTAAATAAAAAAATAACTTTTTCACTGTGAAAAAATAATAATAATAATAATAAATTTTTTTGAAATATTATTATCATTATTAATATTTTTACTTTTGTAAGGTACGTGTGTGGAAAAGAGAGAAAAAGAGAGAGAAGGGGGGAGGGGGAAGAAAGAAAAATGTGAAAAAAATTGCACAAAACTTTTTTACCATATACGTAAGCGAACCTTTTTTTTTTTTTTTTTTTGTCTTTTTGACAGGCGTAAGAAGAACGATGTCGGAAAAAATGAAAAAAAAACTTTTATATATAAATATTCGGGAAAAAATTTAAATAACGAGGATACGCACGCACACGCACAACGCACACACACGCGTTTATAAAAATGAGAGAGAGAGAGAGAGAATATTTAGTGCGTAAATTAAATCAATTATTATTAAAATTCATACCGTGTCTGACACGTGTATAAATTACGTGCACGAAAAAAAATTTTCTTACCTTTTTTGCGTGCGGGTGTGCGTGTGCGTGTGCGTGTGCGCTTGCATTTTTTCCAAAGACCCTCCAGCTATAAATTAAATATAATATAATAATTAATATTATTAATTTCACAACAATTTATTATTATTATTAATATTATTAAATCTTCGGGGTGGGGGGGGGGGAAATTTAAAATTCGAAAAATGTAAAAAAATAAAAAATGAAAAAAACGTGGAAGGAATAATAATAATAATAATAATAATAATGAAGAAAATATTATTATTATCGTTATTGTATATTTAAAAAAAAAAAAAAAAAGTTTGTAGGGCGGTGGCTTAAAAAAAATTAAAAAAATTTTTTTTCGTCCATTTTGAAAAAAAAAATCGATGATGGAAAAAGGTTTTTCCTTTTTTTTTTTTCCTTTTTTTTTTTGTGTCACTTTTGATGTTTTGTGCGTTTTTGTGCGTTTCCTTCGTCGTCGTCATCGTAGAAAAAAAAAAAAATTTGCTTTTAGCGGTTTTCTTCTTTAAAAAAAGAAAATTTTTTTTTTTTCAAAATGGCCTCTTGCACGACAAGGCTAACGGAAATCGGGTTATTAACTTAAGTAAGTCTTTTTTTTTTTTATTCTCTTAATTCTTAATTCGCGACGCAAAAAGAAAGAAAAAAAAACGGTTTTATTTTTTATTTGATGTTTCGAAACATTTTTTTTTATCTACCTTTGTTTCCCACCCCTACCACCTCCTAACCCTTTTGAGGAGAAAGAGGGAAACCCCCCCTCCCCGTTAAACGTGATTTTATCGCGAATGTTTTAACACTGACATTTTTTTTTTTCCTGAAAAAATAAAAAGTGAAATTAATTTTTTCTCTCTCTCTCTCTCTTTATCAGGACGAATAAAAAATGAATAAATAATAATAATAATAATTAAAAATAATAATAATAATAATAATAATAATAATGATAATAATAATTTACACTTGAAAAATCATTAAAATGTAACACAATTTTTTTTTTTTTTTTTCTGGAATAAATGACGTGGAAAATAATTTTTTGTTTTAAACTTCCTTCCTCTTCCTCCTCCTCCTTCTCCTCCTCCTCTTTCTCTCCTCCCTTTATATCGCGGGGAAAGAAACGAGTGGGGGGGTAGGGAAGAAGAGAAAATCTTGGAGTTTTATTTTAATTTTTTTTTTTTATGTTCTTGATTCCAGCATTTCTTTCTTGGAACGTAAACGAATGTCACGTGAGTTTAGAAAAAGAACTTCAAGCCATTACTGAACAATCGCCCGAGGGGGAAGAAATCCGATACGGTAAGTTTTATTATTATTATTACTACTTTATATCCCCCCCGTTATTAAATCAATTCGCCATATTATTATTATTATTATTCTCTCGAAAATATCGAAAATTTCGTAACGAAAAAAAAAAATTCGTGAATGAGCACACACACGAATGCAAAAAAAAAGAAAATTATCAATTCATTTCCGGTCGATTCGTTTTTCATCGAACGGAAATAATTAGGGGAAAAAAACAGGGAAAACCGGGAAAAATCGGGATAGGATTTGAAATTGCACTTTAACGTTGATTTCAAATGAAATTTTTTTTTTAAAATAAAAATAAATAAATTTTATCGACGAATTTGTGTGATGACGCGCGCGCACGCACACACACCATTCTCTGGAGAAATTCGTTAATGGTTTTTTCTTTCTAAAGATGTTGTAACATTTTTTAAAAATGTTTTCCCTCCCACCATTCCCCCCGATTTCCCCCATAACATTTTCGTATGACTAAAATGTAATTAAAACCGATTTAGGTTAATTATAATTAAAATTTTTAGTTTTAAAAAAAAGGTAAAAAAAAAGGGGGGAAGGGAGAGGAGGGGAAAAAAGGTTATGAACGCGTAATTAGTTATGAAAATTTTAACTTTATTAAAAAAGTAAACAAAAAAAAAAAAAAAAAAAAAATTTATTCGCCACTAATGAAGGGGTTGAGAGAGAGAGAGAGAGAGAGAGAGAGAAAATGTAAAGTGAAAATTTTAACCCGGTGGTGATGCTGCTGCTGCAGTTGCTGTGGTTTTTTTTTTTTTTTGTAACCTCAAAATTACGTTTTTCTTTTCCGTATAATATTACGTAATTATTAATTAATTTCCCTTTTTTTTTTTTGGGGGGGGGAAAAATAAAAAGGTGAGAGACTGATACAATTTGCGACGGAAAATTTGGTGACTGAAATATTGATTCATCCGCAATTAAACACTCTTCATCAATGCATGAAAAATTTATTATCGAGTTTTACAAAACACAGGCACATAATACACGCCGGATATACTTTTGCCGGAAACGGATCATGGATATTGCAGGTAGGGGAGTGTGTGAGAGAAGGGATGAATATAATTTTCCTTTTTTTTTTTTTTAAAAAAAAAAAATTTTCCTGACCGTTTCGTGTTTTTATTCAGGATGGAACTTTATCGATATCGGATTTAGTCGAAGGCCTTCACGAACCGGAAGTATTGAGAGTTTTAAAAGCTTACGAAAATTCCGTTTCCATCGATATACATTGCGCTTCTGAGGGGGATTGGACGACGGAGAGATTTAAAAAAGAACCCGTATCGAAACTTTGTAACATTAGAATAAATCCCGGGGATGTTATGACGTCTGGAAAAAATCCGGAAATATCATCTTTCATCGATTACTTATCACCTTTTTTAGAGCCGGCCAACATACAACAATTACTCCAACCGACGGATGTGGTCGGAAACATACGATTCACTCATCCCACTCTTTACGTATTCCCGGGTGAGACAATTAAATATTTTATTCCGTACATATTTATATTTGTTTTCCTAACACGATAACGTTATCAATTTATTTATTTATTTATTCGATAAGGTGGTCAAGGGGATGCTGCACTTTTTGGTATCAACGGATTTAACATGCTCATAGATGGGGGTTTTGCCCGAAAAGCTTGCTTTTGGGATTTCGCCAGACATTTGGATCGTCTCGATGCCGTTTTGTTGACGAGGTTAAATAATAGCACGATAAATGGTATTTCGGCCGTTTTGCAAAGGAAAAAAATGAATCACGTGTATCCGCAAATAGGACATTTTTTTTGTAACTTGCAGGTAATTACATAAGCGTATTATTATTATTATTATTATTATTATTATTATTATTATTATTGTTAGGACAAAGTAAGCTTACGAAAACGATTTTGTTACAGGATCGTAAAATTGCATTGTCTCCCGACGGTGATAAAGATAAAGACTCGTTGATCGTGAATTTAGCAGAAGAAGGACAGGAAATCGTGGCTAATTTACGTCATTTAGCATTGAAACCTCATCCCTGTTACAGAGATGGAAATCAAATAGATCCCGTTAATTTGTATCATAAAGTCGGTCACGGAAAACTCGACATGTACGTCATAAGTCCGGCGAGAGATAGTCAAGCGGTGAAAGAGTTTTTAGCCAAGTGGACGGCCAACGATAGTCACCTGTTTTATAACACGGGAAAAAAAGTCGGAGGAAAAGCTTTCGAATTTCCACTGCAAAATTTGGTTTCGATTTGCGCTTTGCTCGTGTGGCAACCCGCTAATCCGAGCGATACGATAACGAGAATTCTATTTCCGGGAAGCACTCCGCAACATAAAATATTCGAAGGATTGGAAAAACTCCGACATTTGGAATTTCTTAAACATCCGGTGTGCACTGCGAGAAATATAAGTCCGCCCACGAGTGGTTCGGTGGTTCGATCCATTTCTAAAACGAGGCAAACTAAATTGGTGGAAAATAAACAAATGGATGCGAAACCTATGACGAAAACGGCTGTCAAACCGAATAAGATAAAATTAGAAAAGACGCCACCCAAAGACATCATCAAAACGAAACCGGATACGCAGAAATTAGCGGAAGAGAAAAAGGAAGCGGAAATCATAAATGAAGAGCCTTTGAAAAAACTCGACAACCGGCTCTTGAGTAAAGACGAACAAATCGAAAATCTCAAAAACGAAATTCATAAAATTGAAATGGCCGATATCGAAGATCAAAAGAAGAAAATACTTCATCGATCGAAATACGCAATGAAAAACGTCAAATCCAAAGTCGATTCGAGAGCACCGAGTAAAAGTGCCGACAGGAAAAAAATACCAGAAAAAAAATTAGAAGGCGAAGCGTCTCCTCCCGGCACGCCGAAAAAAGAATTGATGAACGGATCCGCGACCAAAGCTGAAAAAGTCAAAGCCGGTACCAAAGTCGTCACTAAAACGTCACCATCGGCAACTCCTGCGAAGAGTGCCAAGGAAGCCAACAATAGAAAAGTAGTTGAAGCTCGAGTCATTCGTTCGACTAGTAAATCTTTAACTAGGAAAAAAGAAGAAACTCCGCCACCGTCAACCCAGAGCGGACTCAAAGTCGAAAGGAAACCGATAAGCCGCCGTACGAAAGCTCCGACGTCACCCGTCAAAACAACGACAACCAAGGCGAGTAAGACGGCCGAACAAGAGAATCTCGCGGCGAAAAAAGCCGCGAAAAAATTGGATGTTAGCATGAACGTCGTTAAAACGGCTGGAAAACTCCTGAAAACTGCTTCGGATTCTCATCCGAGTGCAGGTATCGAAAAGACTGAATCGCAAGAAAAAATAAGGTCTCAACCGAAACCCGTTAACGAAGAAGACATTATTGAAAATAAAGAGACTGATAAGATGGCTGTGAAAAAGGAATTGGAACCTGCGCCTACTAGTCAAGACAAGTTAGACAAAACCAAAGACGATGAAAACGAGGGAAGAGGTGAAGAAGAAGAAGATGAAGAAGAAGAAGAAGAAGACGAAGAGGAAGAGGAAGAATATTTAATTATAACGAAAGAAGAGTCTTCGGAAGATTCCGAAAAACCCGATGAAAGTTTAAAAGACAACGAAGTCGTCGTCGTACCTAATGAACCTGTAATCGAATCCAAACCTTCCGAAACGGAAGCGGAAGGAGAAGTTAAAAAATTATTACGAGAAGAAGAAGAATCGGAAAAGAAAAATAAAACAATCGAAAAAACAATCGAAACTGAGAAAACTCAAGATAAAATTGATGAAAAAATCGATGGAAAATCCGATGGGAAAATTTCCGACGAAGAAAAGAAAATTGAGGAAAAAATCGAGAAGGGAAAAATTTCGGAAAAACCATCGGAAAATTTAATCGAAGGGAAAAACATTGAATTGCATAAACATGAAGAACCAGAGGATGATAATAACAAAGAATCAGGTAATTGAAATTTAATCGATTTTTTTTATAGTAAACGCGCATTTCGATTATCGATTATCGATTATCGATTTTCACAGTGTCGAAAAATCAAAAAGCGGGAGAATCGTTTCCGGATGAGAAAATTTCAAATACTTTGGAAACATCGGCAACAACGGCACCGACATTGCCCGAAGATGAAAAAATCGAAGAAGAACCTATCGCGGAAGAAAAAATACTCGTCGAAGAAACTCAGGAAGTCGTGGAAGAAAAATACATTCAAGAAGAAACAAAAGAAGAAAAACCAAAAGAAATCGTTCAAACGGATTTTCAAAAACCTGTCACTCCGACAAAATTTGAAATTGAAGGTAATTGCTTAGAAAAAAAATCTTAAGCGAAAGAAAAGTGGGGGGCGTGGTGAGTGGGGGGGGGTGTGGAAAGGGAAACCGATCGATATTAAAAAAAAATTTTTTTTTTTTTCTTTCAGAGTCACAAAAGCCGATATACGTGGGACATAGAAAACCGAGGGACGTGGTCAAAACTCCGGATGAAGTGGCAGATTTACCCATGCACGAAGAAGTCGATCCGAGAATGTATTCGAGCGGTGAATTTTCAAAAGATTTACAAAAGAAACTATCGGAAGAATCCATTTCCGTCGTGGCGGTAGAAAAACTTTCAGACGATCACAAACCCGATGAAAAATTGAAAGACGAATCTCAACTTTCGATCACGTCTAAATATTTGAATATAATAGACGAACTTGAAAAGAGCGCGCCGCCGCCGACGACTTTAGCCGACGCGGACGCGGGGAAAACGGATGAAAAAGGGGAGGAGGAGAAAATTTTGATTTCCGGCGATGATAAAAAAGAATTTTCCGAATCGGATGTTCCCGAAGGAATCAAGGATATCGATGAGGATAAAGTCGATGGAGAAAAATTGTCAAAGGAAGATTTAGATAAACCATCGGATAAAGTTTTATTGGAATCTGAAAAACTACACAAAGGAAGTGACGTGGAAAAAATTGAAAGTAAACCGGATATCCCGGAAAAAACGACGGATTTGAAAACTCTCGAAGACGCTCCCCCCGTTGACTTAAACGAACCGATTTTGGAAAAATTAACCGCTCCGATGGTGGATTCGAAACCATCGGAAGTAACAGAAAGAGAAAAAATCGAACCTAAAGAATCAATACCGGATGCGTTAGAAAAAGATGACAAAGACAAACAACCTTCAACAAGAGATAAAGATTCTGATGTTTTAATTTCCGAAAAAATGGAAGGAAAAGTCGAATTCGACGAATCTAAACCGACGGAAAAAAAATTTTCTGATGACGTTTCGTCAGTTCGCGATGAAAATCAAGAAAAGAAAGAAAAAGATGATCTCGTTAAAGGCGACACAACCCGAGAAACTATAGACGAATCGAATATCAAAAGCGAATCTGTTAATTTAATCGAAAGCTCAGCTTCCCGAGATGAGATTGTCGAACCTTTAGAAAAAGAATCAGACGAAGTCAAAAAAGAAACTGATGAAAATTCCGAGGCTAAGTTAGACGATACCGAACGACCCGAAGAAATGAAAATGAGTGGGGATGTCGTTGATGAGGTTAAAGGAAAATCAGACGACGAAATCGCCCAAAAAGAAAACCAAGTTGAAATTGTTAAAAAAAAATCTGACGTTGAAATGTTTTTAGAAGCGGAAAGACAACAATATTTGATTATTAAAGAAGAAAAACCTGATGATGTTAAAGATTCAGTCGAAACAAGTGCGACAGATGAGGGATTGGACACTGGTTCTGTTGTAGATTCATCAAAAAATATTCTACTTGAAAAAGAAATTCCGAAAGAATTAACTTTACAACCTATTGATGAGAAAAAAGAAAGCGATGAAAAACAAACAACAAAAGCACCTTCCGATAAGGAGAGTCCTACGCATTCGGAAAGACGAACTTCCGTTAAAGAAACCCCAGAATTTCACGAGCGTACTTCCGGTAAAAGTAGTCCGACAGCGGAGGAAAAACTAAAATCCGGTAAAACTAGTCCGACGGTAGATGAAAAACTAAAATCTGGGAAAACTAGTCCGACGGCGGATGAAAAACTAAAATCTGGTAAAACTAGTCCAACAATAGACGAAAAAGTAAAATCCGGCAAAACTAGTCCGACGGTAGATGAAAAACTAAAATCTGGTAAAACTAGTCCAACAATAGACGAAAAAGTAAAATCCGGCAAAACTAGTCCGACGGTAGATGAAAAACTAAAATCTGGGAAAACTAGTCCGACAGCGGAGGAAAAACTAAGATCCGGAAAAAGCAGTCCGACGGTGGAGGAAAAACTAAAATCTGGTAAAAGCAGTCCCACAGTAGATGAAAAACTAAAATCTGGGAAAACTAGTCCCACGGTAGATGAAAAACTAAAATCTGGGAAAACTAGTCCGACGGTAGATGAAAAACTAAAATCTGGTAAAAGCAGTCCGACAGTAGATGAAAAACTAAAATCTGGTAAAACAAGTCCGACGGTAGATGAAAAACTAAAATCTGGTAAAAGCAGTCCGACAGTAGATGAAAAACTAAAATCTGGTAAAACAAGTCCGACAGTAGATGAAAAAGTAAAATCTGGTAAAACAAGTCCAACAATAGACGAAAAAGTAAAATCTGGAAAAAGTAGTCCGACAGTAGATGAAAAACTAAAATCTGGAAAAAGTAGTCCAACAGTAGAGGAAAAACTAAGATCCGGTAAAAGCAGTCCATTACATTTTGAGAAAGACTCTATCAGAGATATTAAAAAAGATCTTACTGAAAAAGACAAAACTCTTTTACTTGAAAAAGAAAAATTCGCGTCGGGAAAAAGTTCTCCAGACCGGCCAACATCCGGAAAAAGTACACCTCTAGATATGAGAGAACCGATTTCAGGGAAAAGCACACCTTTGGATATGAAAGAAATTCCTGAAAAAACTACTAGTGAAATTATGGAAAGGCGGCCTTCAGGTACAACAAATGCCTCATTAGATATCAAAGAAACAACTTCTGGAAAAAGTACACCTTTAGACGTTAAAGAACCGACTTCTGGAAAAAGTACGCCTTTAGACGTAAAAGAATCGACTTCTGGAAAAATTACACCTTTAGATGTAAAAGAACCGACTTCTGGAAAAAGTACACCTTTAGATGTAAAAGAACCATTGTCAGGTAAAGAAACTCCATTAGATGTAAAAGAGGTAGTTTCTGATAAAAGTACCATCGAAATCATTGAAAGACGACTATCCGGTACAAGTACTCCTTTGGATATAAAAGAATCTCTTTCTGGAAAAAGTACTCCTTTAGATATGAAAGATCTAATATCTCATAAAAGCACGCCTGAAATTATCGAAAGACGAACCTCCGGTGCAAGTACTCCTTTAGATATAAAAGAATCACTTTCTGGAAAAAGCACACCTTTAGATGTAAAAGAGCCAACATCTGGGAAAAGTACACCTTTAGATATGAGAGATCTAGTATCTCATAAAAGTACACCTGAAATTATCGACAGGCGAACCTCTGATGCGAGCATTACCTCGGAAGTAGTAAAGGAACCAACTTCTGATAAAAGCACTACAGATATTATTGAAAAACGACTTTCTGGTACAAGTACACCCCTAGACGCAAAAGAAATAAAATCAGGAAAAAGTAGTCCTGAAATTATCGACAGGCGAACTTCCGGCGCGAGCATTTCCTCAGAAGTAAAGGAACCCATTACTGATAAAAGCACTACAGATATTATTGAAAAACGAACTTCCGGTGCAAGTACACCATTAGATGAGAAAGAGCCCGTTTCTGAAAAAAGTACACATGAAAAAAGTGAAAAACGTCCTTCTGGTACAAGTACTGATTTGGATGTAAAAGAACCGATTTCCGGGAAAAGTACACCTTTAGATGTAAAAGAACCATTGTCCGGTAAAGATACACCTTTAGACGTAAAAGAACCATCGACTTCTGGAAAAAGTACACCTTTAGATATGAGAGATCTAGTATCTCATAAAAGTACACCTGAAATTATCGACAGGCGAACCTCTGATGCGAGCATTACCTCGGAAGTAGTAAAGGAACCAACTTCTGATAAAAGCACTACAGATATTATTGAAAAACGACTTTCTGGTACAAGTACACCCCTAGACGCAAAAGAAATAAAATCAGGAAAAAGTAGTCCTGAAATTATCGACAGGCGAACTTCCGGCGCGAGCATTTCCTCAGAAGTAAAGGAACCCATTACTGATAAAAGCACTACAGATATTATTGAAAAACGAACTTCCGGTGCAAGTACACCATTAGATGAGAAAGAGCCCGTTTCTGAAAAAAGTACACATGAAAAAAGTGAAAAACGTCCTTCTGGTACAAGTACTGATTTGGATGTAAAAGAACCGATTTCCGGGAAAAGTACACCTTTAGATGTAAAAGAACCATTGTCCGGTAAAGATACACCTTTAGACGTAAAAGAACCATCGACTTCTGGAAAAAGTACTCCATTAGATTCGAAAGATCTAGTATCTCATAAAAGCACGCCTGAAATCATCGACAAACTTTCTTCCGGTACAAGTACTCCTTTAGATATAAAAGAATCTCTTTCTGGAAAAAGTTCACCTTTAGATGTGAAAGACCCCACGTCTCATAAAAGTACTCCTGAAATTATCGAGAGACGAACTTCTGCATCAAGTATTTCTTCAGAAGTAAAGGATTCTGCTACGGAAGTCACCGAAAGACGACCTTCTGGTACAAGTGCTCCATTAGACGTAAAAGAAATAACTTCTGGAAAAAGTACGCCGCTGGAAGTAAAAGAGGAAATTCCTGGTGAAAGCGCCGCCGGAGAAGTTATTGAAAGACGACTTTCTAGCGCAAGTACATCTCTAGATGTAAAAGAACCAATTTCCGGAAAGAGTACGCCATTAGAAGTAAAAGAACCCATTTCCGGAAAGAGTACGCCATTAGAAGTAAAAGAACCGATTTCTGGAAAGAGTACACCATTAGATTCCAAGGAGCCATCGTCCGATAAAGGTACTTCATTAGACTTAAAGGAACCAATGCCTGAAATGAGTAAAACTGAAACTATTTTAAAACCAACTTCCGACGCAGTTATTTTTTCTGACCTGAAAGAGTCTACATCTGGCAAAAGTACACCCTTAGAAGTGAGAGAACCAGTATCCGGAAAGAGCACACCTTTAGACGTAAAAGAACCGACTTCTGGAAAAAGTACACCTTTAGATGTAAAACAAACTTCTGGTCCGAGTGTTTCCACAGATAAAAAATCTGGACAAAGTACGCCTACAAACATCGAAGTAAAAATTTCTGGAACGAGTACTCCTTTAGATGCAGAAATCACAGGGTCTGATAAAAGTTCTCCAATGGATTCAAAACCGCAAACTTTTGATCAAAATATTTCCGATGCGATTGAAGTAGCGAAAACCACAAGCGCAACATCTCCTTCGGAACTTGAACAACAAATATCAAGACAAAGTTCACCGTCGGATGAAAAAGTTTCTAGTAGGAAAGAATCTTTGAAGACAACAGTAACGAGTTTACAAGAAGGTGTTGATGTTATAAAAAGCTCAAGTGATACAGTTTCGCATCTTCCCGCAGTATTACCACCCTCTGGAGTCAAAGAAGGCGTAGACGAACGAGGTAATGGAGTACAGTATAATGTAATGAATTCATCATTTTCCGATGAAAATTATAAAACTGGATTTTTTACAGACGCTGAAAAAACTTCAAAAGAATTAATTGGTTCAAAAAGAAGTTCTCCGGTTCCAGTGCAATCAGATTTACAAGACGAAACTTCAACTAGTATCGCAAAGGACTTAATTTCGGAAAAAGATTCTAAATTAACTCCAGATTCTTCTGTCGCTGAGGTTGAGTCGAAGGAATCTTCCAAAACACACTTATCGCATACGGAAATTCGAGAGAAAGTATCATCTCCGGTTGACGATTTAAAACTTTCTTCGAAGGAAGTTAAAGATGTCGTCGATACGGTTATTTTAGAGGAAACAAAGACTGAAACTACTACTACTACTGCTGCTCCTGAAGGTGAAGAACAATTACGGAAAACTTACACCAGGCACATAAAAACGACAAGCGATTCATTGATAAAGCATCCCGTAGAAAGGATAAAACACGAAGAGGGAGATTCTTCCCGATCATCGACTCCTGATAGAAGCAATTTAGAAAAATCTGACTCATCCGCGCCGAATGGAATGGAAAGCGAAGAAGAAATCGAGAAGGGAACTCTTGAAAGTGAACGACACGAAAAAGAATCACAAATTTTGGATGTTACCAGTGAGGAAGAAGAAGAACTTAAAGGATTGGATGTCGATGATGACGATTTAGATTCCGATTCGGATTTAAAAAGAGATAAGGCTGAAAATTATGATTTGACTGGTGCCACGGCAAGTGGAATCAGAGTAGAAATTAATAAAAACGAAAAAGAAGATATCAATCAATTGGTTAAATTAGGGGTTAAAGATGTCGACTCGGAAGATGAATCGGATCAAAAAAGTAGAGTGAAAAAAATGTTGGTGACGGCAAGCAGTGAAGACGGCGGAATCGAAACGGAAATAAGCATTCAAAATGGTAGCAGAGTCGAAGATAGACGATCGGTTGCGAAAACACACGAATTACAACCGGAAGAAGAAGAATTTGGAAATTTAATTATGCAAGCTAGAAAAGAGTACATCACTCAACGCTCAAGAAAGACTTCTCAAAATAGTTCGACTGAAGAAATTGATGATTTGGGAGAAAGCGAAATTGTTCAAAGCGAAAGCGGAAACGAAAGCGAAGAACTTGGAACGCTACTCATGCAAGCTCGACAAGAATTAGCTTTCGTTCGGTCGAAGGGTAAAGAAGTTAAAGAAAAAATCGAACCCACCGTTCGAACCTTACACAAATCCGTTACAACAAAAACAACAGAAACGACAAAAGTCGAGGGTGACAATGTCATAACGATAACTACAACCGTCACGGAAGAAAGAGAAGAACAAAACGACGGAAGTATTAAAGTGACGACGACTACAAAAATCACAACAAAGGGAGGAGGAAACGAAGGTACGACTGAAACCGTCACGACGAACATTGAAAACAAAATCGATCAACCCGAATTCTACGACGAGGCGGATGTAGATGAACACAGTAAAAGTATAAAAGACGAAAGCGAAGTAAAGACGTTGCCGAGGGAGGAAATCAGTCGAAGAACGTCGACATCGTCCGTCATTTCTCAAGAAGATTTAATTTGCCGGAAGGATTTAAGCAAAATAGAGGATTTCCGGCAGAGCTCATCTGAAATGTCACCCCTTAAAACGACTTACATAACTTCACACGGTGATTCCGAGTCTCTCATGACGAGTTCGTTTTACGGTAACCTACCGACGGAAGATGAAATGAGAGCAGAACATATCAAAAACATGCGTAAAGAAAGAGGATACGAATCCTTTACCGAAATAGGTTCCGACGGAGAGAGAACGCAAAGATCTTACTTTTACGACACGGAAGAAGATTTGACAGGGTCTGATAGAGATAAATCTCGTTTTGTGAAGACTTATTACACGGAAGATGGTCGCCCGGAAAACTTAGACCGTACTAGATTCGTTCAAAGATTTTATGCGTCTGACATACCGGAAGAAGAATCGAGCACGTCGGAAATGAAATTCGTACAACAACAATATTCGGAAGTTCCGAAGACGGAAATCAAACAAAAATACACGTTTATAAAAACTACTTTACCCGAAGAAGTCGAAGAAATTGTAGAAAGAGATGATGGAGCCTCAGAAACCGTTCAAAGTCAAAGCGTTACTTTAACGAGTGACGGCGAACAGTCGAAACAAACACCGGTCGAAGCATCACGAACGGAACCTTCAGCAGAAGATACTCCAGCTAAAAAAACGGACGTCATTGAAGGTTGGGGTAAACCTCTCGGACTCCCATTACCTCCGAAAGTAAGAAATTATCATCATTATCAATTTATTCACTCGTATCGCGAACGCTTTCGTTAACGTTCGAGCCATTTTTATTTTTAGAATGCGAACAAAGGTTATATTTTCCCTGGACAAAACATTTCCACGACTTCATCGCTATCAACTCCGACGGATAACAGCGATTCCGTGACGAACTGGGGACAACCCATGAGTTTACCATCTCCGGCTCCACCCGTGACTCAAAACGGATTATCAGACGCCGTTCATGGAGTAACAACTACGAACACTACCAGCAAGGACACTCCGAAAAAAGAAAAATTACAAATGAAAAAGTCTGCCGATCACAAAGGATCAGGTAAAAAAAAAAAAATTTTTTTTTTTTTCGAACCGAATAATGATAATAAATTTTTCCAGGCAACAACACACCGAACAGACGATCGGAATCTCCAGTTAAACAAACGGAAAAACGAGCCGCATCACTCGGACGTACCAAAACCGGTTCGACCTCTCATCTATACTTAGATTTAACTTACGTGCCCCATCACGGAAATTCCTACTACAGCAACGTTGAATTTTTCAAAAAAGTAAGAGCCAGATATTACGTATTCAGCGGGACCGAACCCAGCAAGGAAGTGTACAATGCACTATTGGAAGCCAAACAAACGTGGGAAGACAAAAAATTGGGTGAGCAAACCCAAAATGTTTTTTCGAAAACCTTTATCTTTTCCCTCTCTCTCTCTCTCTCTCTCTCTTTCTCTGTTCTCACAACCTTTGATTTTTTTTCCAGAGGTGACAATAATACCGACCTACGATACCGACATATTAGGATATTGGGTAGCCGAAAACGAAGAAACTCTCGCCAAGCATAAAATAGATCTCTCACCATCGGCTAGCAGGTGTACGATCAATTTGCAAGATCACGAAACTAGCTGTTCTGCATATCGATTGGAATTTTAGGGCCGACTCGTAGCATTTTCATCAAAAATAGGATCTTTTTTAAAGAATATTTAACCTGGATTTTATTAGATATTCTTTATTTTGTCGACGACGGAGAACGATATGCGTGCATTCATACCTGCTTGCTAGCGAGTAAGCAAGCAATCAGGTATGGTATGCACATTTACAAAAAATTCAAAACCTTAGTCGAATAATGAGTATTGAGTCGAAACATAATAATTTCAGCATCAATATGTTAACAAAAGTACAAAATTTTCTTTTGACACGATATTATTAATCTATGGAAAATTCACGAATTCTCATAGAGAAATAGAAGAAATACGACAGGGGCTTTTTGGCCAGTAGAAAAAAAAAAAAAAATTCATTTTTTTGTAAAGTGTCAAAGTCGTTCGATAATCGAATTAATAGTTTCTGAACTATCACGTCTGACGTCATCATCACATTACCACAAAAAACCGTTACAAAATTAATAGAAACGTTTTTACAACGGATTGATAGATAATTAATTTATAGATCGTTAGAGGTTTTCGAAAAATTTTTTTTTATACGTAAAACTTTTAAAAGATGAAAAAAAATAATAAAAAAAAACGTTGGGAAAGTTGTTAAAGTTATTGAAAATTATTCGGTAGAAATGATATACGCGTATAAGTTAAACATAATAATTCAAATTCGTAATTTTATTCCTAACATTATATAATTATATAAGTTTAAAAATAGTTTTTTGATATATATATATACATATTAAATGTGCGATTGAGGGGTAAAAAGTTAATATTTTCCGTTAAAATTACTCGTTGATTAAACAAATCGATTCCTACATGGACGAATTAGATAGAGAGAAAGCAAAGATCAAAAAGCCAAAAGCAAAATGGTCAATTTTAATAATTAATCGACTCACCCGATTGCAAATTCGATGAAAACTAATTAGTTTTGTTATAATTATTTCGTTTTCTAAACAGTTAACAACAATTTTAAAACTAAAAACCACTTTTATAGTAAAAATATAATATATACATGTAAAACACACTTTCGTTCGTTGTTTACGTACGTAATTAACTGACTAATGGCGCGAATAACCGACTACGTGAATCAAATCAGCTTCTGTTTTTTCTCTCTCCCTGCTTAACTTACGTAGAAAGTTTACATAAGTTAAACATGTGAGGGAAATTTCAAAAAAGAGAATTGCCGGTGACGTCATCAAAATGGCGACTCAACGGTTTAATTGTTGCTTTGTTTTTTTTTTTTTTAATTAGAAAACGAAGGAAAAAAGAAAGTAAATTCGTATTTAAATATTTTTAAATATAGTGCATTAATGTAATAATAAATAGTTTTAAAAAAAAAAGAGAGAGAAAGAGAGAGAGAGAGGAAAAAAACAAACTACAAGGTAATTATAGTTGAAAATTTTATTATAAATTTTAGATGATAAAAACATTAAGAAAAAAATCAAAAAAAAAAAAAAAAATTGTTCTTTTTTTCGAGTAGAGTTAAAACGTTCGAAAACCGTTAAAAATATTTTTTTTTTTCAAAAAAATTTGTTTTAGTTGCATTTTTTTATTTCTATATTAAATTTCTAATATTATTATAATACTTTGTTGATTTTGCTATATTAATATTATTATTATTATTAAATAATTTATTGTTTTTTTTTTTGTAAACGAGTTTAATGAATTAATAATAATTAAGGGATGTTGGAATAAAAAAAATTTAAAATGGTGAAACGTAATGAGCTTGAAGAAGGTTTAAAAGATTTATTAATTACATTATTTATTTATTTATTTATTTATATATAGAAATTACAACTACTACTATTACTACTACTACTACTATTTATTATTGAATTTATTAAATTTAGAAGCTTATAAAAATTATTATTACTAAATTTTTAAATTTTTTTCCCCCCCATTTTTCTCTTTTTTTTAAATTTTAAATAAATAAATAAATAAATATAAATAGCGGTTAAGTATATACAAAAAACTTTTTATCATTATTATTATTATTATTATTATTATTAATAACGTTTTTTGTTTCGAACGACGATATTTATTAATTAATAAATTTATTTATTTATTTTTATTTTTACCAAGCGGATTTTTTACAATTTAACGTTTTTTTTTTATTACACGTAATTACGTAGTTACATAACCCGATAAATAATATTAGTAATAATAATAATACTAAATAATAATAATAATAATAATAATATGTTCAGGGTTTTGCGTTTGGCTGTGAATGATAAATTAAAAAACATTTTTTTAAAAACTTAATAAATAAATAAATAAAAGGAACATTGATGATGATGATGGATTACAATTTTAAATATTGATTTTTTTTTTTTTTTTTTTAAATAGGGAACGAAAGTAATAATAATAATAATAATAATAATAATAATAATAATAATAATACTAGGGATTTCTTTTTTATGAAATAATTGTTGGATTATTTAATTATCTCTATATGATATATATATATATATTTATATAAATATGTGCAGAAAACATTCTAGAAAAAAATGATTTGAGGGATGGAAAGTGTAATTAGATATTTAAACGAGTGCCTCTTTATTTAGATGATGATGATGATGATGATGATGATGATGAAAAAAAAGAAAACCGAAAATTGAATTTTTCCGATAGTGCCCTACCCACTCCCTCACTCACTCCCTCCCTCCCTTTCACCCACCCACTCCAAATTATTAAAATAAAAAATTGTAAAAAATCCGCCTTTTTGTTTATTATTATTATCATTATTATTATTATTATTATCACGTTTAATATATTATTATTATTTTAATAATAAAGGATATAATCTATGATTTTTACGTACGTACGTATTATTATTATTATTATTATATATATTTATATTCGTTATTAAATTACGTTTGATAAATTTTTTGAATAATAATAATATTAATATTAATAAAATTTAACGTCGTAATAATAATAATAATAATAATAATAATAATAATAATAATATATTATTAGATTTTAATCGTTTTAAATAAAAAATAAGATTTTTTTTTGGCGTTTTTGTTTTTAAAAATTTAGTACGTCTATTTATACGTGTATTGATCGATTGATCGATCGATCTATCGATTGACTGATTGGATGATTGTTTTTGTTTTTTTTTAAATTATAGATTTTATTATTAAATAATATTATATATTGATTGATCGGTGGTAATTTTAAAAATATTATTAATTACTATTATTACTATTATTATTATTATTATTTGATTATTTTATTTATTATTATTATTGTCATATTATACTATATAAATATATATATATAGAATATAATAATAAAAAATTTTTATGTGGGTTCGTTCGATGATGGTGATGACGATCCCATATCCGTCCGTTTTAACGATGATCGACTATGATCGATTATCGATTATCGATAATTTTTTCTTATACGATTCGATAATTAAAAAATAAAAGGCTAGCAAAGGCAACTTAGTGAGAAAAAACACAAAAAAAAAATTTAACAGAAATTTAAGCCATGTGTTTTACATTAGCGGTTTGTGTAAAAAAAAAAAAAAAAATTTTGAAATTTTCCAGATGCAAAAAAAAAAAAAAAATCGATTTCGAAAGACGAAAACCAAACGGTAAGAAAAACAGATACGATGATCTATCTAGACTTCAGGACCGTAACAAGGTGGGAAAAGGTAGGAAGTATATATATATATATATATATATATATAAAATAACAATAATGTTATGACTCTTCCTCATTCCTGTTCCCTTCTTCCCCTATTCCCATTAATATTTTCGATAATCATCGATTACTTTTTTCTCACCCCTATCGTCCCGTATCGTTCCTCTATCTCCTCCCTCCTCCCCCCTAACTCTCCCTCCTCCCTCTCTCCACTACTTAATCCATCGTTTAATTCATTTATAATTTAAATTGTGAATTTGAGCAAATGTTCACGTGTAATGCGAGACCGGGAAAAAAAATATCAAAATTATTATTATTATTATTATTATTATTATTATTATTATTATGTGTCGCGAGTAGTAAGTTATTAATAAATAAAAAAAAATGGCGGAGGAGTAGAAATTACGAAAACGTCGCGTACATTTAACAACATGTAATTTGATTGAATTAACTGTGGAAAAAAAAAAAAAAACGTCATAGAGGCATAAATCGTTTATTATTAAACGATTTAAAACAGATGTTTAATTTTATATTATTGTGTATGTATTCTCACGCACGCACACACCCACACATTTTCCACCCACGCAACGCACGCACATTCACGCACGAATACGCATCTAAAAAAAAATAAAGAAAGGAAAACAAAATGTACGAGTACTAACACGATTTAAAAATTATTACTCTTAAATATTAATTGATTACGTCGTCGTCGATTGTCGAACTTTCGACAAAAATGTCGGTTAAAATAAAGTGCGTGTAATTAATTAATTGTCGCACAATTTATAAAAACAAAGGATGACGTGTGTGTGTGTGTGTGTCGAAGTAGATTAGAGTCGATCAAATGTTTAAAAAACAAAAAAAGGAATGTAAAAATGAAAGGATGAGAAGATTGTAGTGGAAGAAGAAGAAGAAAAAGAAAAAGGAATAGGAAAAGGAGAGAGAAAAAAAAAGGAATGAGAGAGAGAGAGAGAGAGAGGAAGAAAAAAAAGTCCCGAACGGGATTGCTTGGAAGCTTTCTAAGAGGCAATTTTTCAAATGTCAAATTCAGACTTTCGTTCAGAGTTTGGCCCCACGATTTCACAACTTTTTTTTTTTTTTTTTTTTTTAACGAATTCGTCTTTTTTATTTATTTAAATTTATTATTATTATTATTATTATTATTATTATTATTATTATTATTATTATTATTTCATTTTTTTAAAATTTAATTTAATTTTTCGCTTCGAAATTCGATTTTTTTAACAATAATTTAAAAATAAAATAATTTTAAACGTTTTTATATAATTCGTGTAAATAGATAAATAATAATTTTATAAGTAAGTTAGTTCCACGACGTTTTATTAACGG